ACCTTTCCTGTTCTGAGGATTCTATTTGTTGTATGTCTAGCTCAGTGGTCGAGACACATTAGCCATTGTTAGCTATCAGGTGTTGCTCAGTTTTTCATGCCTCTAATGTATGGTACTTTCTTGTGTCTCTTTAGTGTTGCACTGCTGCACTGCAAAGTTTCTAGTTAGCCTTCAGACTTCTAGGAAGTTCCTTATGTTCCATTTAGGCTGGGTTAGTTGTCTTCCTCTTCTAATTCTCTATCTCTTCAATATAGCACCAACTCATATTTTTTTCTAAATTTTTTTAATTTGCGAGTTTCAGATTTACAGAAAACAATGAAGAACAGTGTAATGAACACTTATATACCTTTTGCCCAGGTTCACTGTTAATAATTTGCCATACTTTCTGTAACTTTAAATGTGTGTATCTCTCATTTTTTTCCTAAATAATTTGAGAGTAAGTTGCAGACACTGTGATATTTCACTCCACTTTCCATTTTTTAGTCTATAACCGCAATACCCTATCACAATCATGAAATTTAACATCGATACAATGTTATGAAGTATGTAGTGCATATTCAGATTTCCCCAGTTGTCCTAAAAGGTCCTTTTTAGATTTTTTTCCTTTGGATCCAGGATCATGCCTCTAGGTTTGCTCCTTTAATCTAGAGTATTCATTAGGCAATTTTTTTGACTCTCATGACATTGACATTTTTAAAGAGTATAACACAGTTCTGTAGGTTTTACAATCTTGGCATGTCTATTGTTTTCTCACGATTAGATCATTTTTTTTTTTGTTCTGTTGCATCTCTGTGATTTCCTGCAAGAAAGAGAAAAGCAGCTCCTGACAGCTCAGAAAGAACTGGCCTGGCTGGCGTTACCTATTTGTTTGACCTTGGTGTTTCTTAGAGTTGGCCTGGTATTCACAGCTAGGTTGTGCTGTTTTCTTGTTGAACATAAACAGTTTCACAGAACAGGAACATTAGACAAGGCCACTCTGTGTCCTTGGATCAAGACAAAACAAGGCTGCTCCATAATCTTGCCTAAAAACAAACAAAAACACGAACATTGTTGAAGTCTCAAACATGATCAAGCATATCTTCCTCCTGGCCACCATGAGTGCCTAAAGCTCCCTTATAAATCACAGCCTTAGCCTCTCTTCATTCTTCTTGCCTCACAGTAAGATTTATTAAAGTCATAGAATCCTGAATTAGATTTCATAGACTCATAAAATTACCCCCACTTCCTGACAGCATCCAAAGTAGGGCAGAGCCCTACTTCTTTGAACCTTTTCGAAAAACACCTGAAACAGGCCCAAATCCTGTACATCCTTTTTCACACCCTGTACTGAAATGCCCCAGTGTTCTTGATAGTATGTATGTATTCTCTCTAGTTGCAACATTGTTTATTGCAATATATCCAACTTGTTTAACTAGAGATGTGTTCTTGGTGCTGTTGACTAGAGGAATTCACATCTGAGAACCTTGAATCTCATTTCTCTTTTTACTCTGAAGTTTTGGTACAGCTAAGAATCAGGATCAAGCTTTTCTGGGTAATTTGTTACTGGTTAAGCATAACTTTTAGTTCCAGTTTTTGGTTACTGACATTTGTATTTTAAAAAAGTTATAAACTGCTATCTAAGAATTATTCTATTTAATAAAAAAAAACAGAGGAGAGAGAGGCTTATAAATCAGAGGGAGAGACTTTATTTCCAGTGATTTGCCAGCTTAATTACAATGTTTTGAATTTAATTCCCCCTTCCCCATACAGATTTTAATAAACAAATCTTTGCTAGGTAATTGGGGGTGGACAAGTGACTTATATGTAGTATATACATACTTACACAAATAATATAACATAAAATATTGCACGGTAAACCTTAGGATGAATTTATTTTGAATTTTCTATCATAAATTACCTATATTTTTCCTTCTCTGTTCACAGAAAAATAAAAATTGACCCTGTGAATGGAAATTTAAAGCAGTAATAAGAGAAGCACCTGTATATTTTTCTCATTGCTGCTGCTTTCAAGTGGAGTTTCGAAGATACTAAAAGATTAGCAACGAGAGAGAATAGCCATTAGAATGTTATCTACCTTTAGGATGACTGTTGAGTTTTGGTCTTTTAAAAAAGAACTTAAAATTAGGTAGCTATGTTATATATATTAAGGCTAGTAGTTATTGCATTAAATTAATCTCTTTGCTTATGCTACCAAATTATTAATTTTTGTTAGGATCAATATCTTAGGGACAAAAAAGTGGGTTCTTTTATTGTATTTGTTCTGATGATAGAATTCAGTGTAACTGAACCTCTTACTGCATACGTCTTTATTTTTGATTGTGCCACTCTGAAAAATGTTATAATTCATCCTGCTTGTCCAAGTTTAATGGAATGGAAATGCATAGATCAATAGAAGTACAACAAAGAATGGCTTGTGACATATTTATTCTACTTAGAAGCTGATATATTACTTGCTTAAGCATTTTAATCTAGCTTAATGAGGAGGTGGGATGAGTCATTGATCACACTAGGATTAAAGCTCCCAAATTTTTATGTATTTGTTTCAGTTATTAGATTTTTTTAGGGTGTCATTAAACAGTAGAGAGTTTTCTATTAAAATTTTTTAACAAGTAGTTATTGCATTTAAAGATAATATCAGGTGACCTTGTGGATTGAAACATGGTATAATGTGTGCATTTTCTGGTTTTCCGTTCTGAGATTATAGGTGTTCAAAAAATCAGTATTCACAGGCACTAGAAATTACTTTTGTTTAAAGCATAAATACATTGGACTGTATCATAAATACCAGAGCAGCCTGCATTTCTTACTTAGGCATAAGAATGAATAATGGACATTTAGCTGTCATTTTAACCTGTTTGGCTAGTGGATTTTCTCCAAGATTGAATAACTTTGTTTTCGGCTCAGAGAATTCGCTTTTTATGTTGGGGTTCTTGTAAGTTTGTTTCCAGGTAATATTATTGATGAGTAGGCTAGCAGGGTCATTCTGGATGTGCTTTTGTCATTGGGAGAATTGAGTTTAATTGTCACACATGCACTGGGAACTAGTAGAAAAAAAAATAGATTTAGCGTAATAGATTATGGTAGCTTTTGTGTGTCAAAACTTAAAACCAGATAGAAGTCACTCTCTTTGATGTGGTATCAGATTTGGAGGTTCCCTCCGCAGGACAGCCCTTCAGTGATTAGGAATCCAAGCTCCTGCCTGTTGCTCTGTTATTTTTAACCTCCCATTTCATAATCCTTCTTGGAAAGGGGAAAGGGGAAACAAGAAAAGCCAGGGAGAGGTGTATATCAGTTGTCTCTTACTGAGATTTCTGGGAAGCCATGGTATAACTTTTGTTTTCGTGCTACTGTCCAGAACTTAGTCCATGTCCACATGTAACTGCAAGGCAAGGTAGAAATTATAGTCTTTTTTTTTGTTTTCTTGGCCACTGTATTCACAGTTAGAAGTTGGGCATTATTTTACAAAAGAAGAAAGTGAGAGCAGATATTGGGGTAGCAGCTGGCAGCCTATTCCAAAGTAAAAAAAGTAGTGTATTGGATGTTAGGAATCCTTTGTCACTTGTTTGCTCAGTTTTACTGGGCCCTGGGCTCTTTGAGGGTGCTGGACCTTTTCACTAGGAAAGTGTGCCTGTAGACACGTGCATGGAGTTTTGTAGGATCGTTGTCTCTGGAACCCATCTATTTAAGCCCAGGGGGTTGTTTATCGACCCACTTTAAGATTTTTTATTAGTAAAAGATGACAGACATTCTTCCAGGATAGAAAGTTCTACTGTAAGACCATTCTTATTAGAAAGTTTTTCTAAGTTTCCATTATTCACTCATACTGTCAACAAAAGTTAGTTAACTTGTTCTGTATGCTAGACACTATGATGATACTTGAAGATTCAAAGACACCTTGATTAATATATTAAGTGCTTACTATGCCTAACATAGAACTGGGATCCTTAAGCACATCGTTCATTTTCTCCATTTTGCAAGTGAGGAAATGATTTATCTTAAGTTTTTATATCTGCAAATGAAAGAGCTTAAATTTGAGCCCAGGTCTAACTTTAAAACCATTTCTTTTTTGTCACCACATAGACACTTTGCTGTAAGCATGAGACACATTGAACTGAGTGTGTTTTGTGGCTGTTCCCAGTTCTTGCTTGGGTTATATAACTAGAGATCTCTTTTTCCTCAGTTTTCTGTTAATATCTTGCAAAGCTACTTAACATGTTTAAGTGTGTGATGATGCTGTTCTTTTGATTTTGTATTTTTCTAAACCTATATTGCAATCAGTATGATACATGGCATGTGACAAATGCCAACTGGTAATCTGATGAAAGAGTAGTACAAAATGACCATATTTAAAATGTCTTATCAGCGTTAAAATTGTATATATCATTAAAAAATTCAATGTAAACCACCTTTTGATCACCTTGTAAACCAGAGCTCCCTGGTGCTGTATATACTTTCTTTTTGCTCACAAGTGTGCTGTCATGTACGCTGACAGCATCACACATGGAATTTAGCTTAAAAGCTTTTTGCTTCAAGCTGAGGTTTTTGACCCCACCGATATACAGATGTTCTCCTAATTTCCTCTCTTCAGCGCCTTTATAAATCAAAAAGAGTGGGAAAGGGAAAATTACATGAGTAATTACAGTATTAAATCACCATAGAAAACCATTTGAGTTCTTTATAATTCTCTTTTCAACTTTAGTTTAAAATCAACAGCTTCTTAAATGGTAAGTTTCTTACACGGACAGGCCTGCGATTATGATTGCATATGTATTTATCAGTTGACACCTCTGCCTCTAGTTCTATCAGAAATGGTATTTTCTTTTCTCTGAGAGTGCTGTTATTTCCAGGTGCAGAGACTAGAGTGACTTTAGAAAGTTTACAATAAGTGTAGCAAAAAAGCAGGGGTAGGCCTGTGGCTGCTTTCCAGACTGAACATAAACAAAACTGGTCCTAAACCTGAGTTTGATCCTTCTTAAGTGTTGATTTTTATTTAATTCTAGGACGATTTGATGAAACGGTTATTGAAGAGAGAAGACAGTGTGCTGAAGACCTGTTGCAGTTCTCTGCTAATATTCCTGCTCTTTATAACAGTAAACAGCTTGAAGAGTTTTTCAAGGTTTGGTAGTCTTTCCGAAATATTTTGCATTTTATTAAATGCCTTTGTTTTCTAATTTGTAGTAAAGCAAGATTCAAGTTTTTTTTTAACAGAAAATGTCATTTGCTTTTGACTTTATTATTGATTTAAGTAAGTAGAAGTTAGTAGCTAAATAACACTGTCTATAGTGTATCTATTCTTAATGTAAAAATATATAAGATTTTTGACTTATTGATTAAAAAATTGATGCAAAGGGCTTAGAAATTATCTAATTCACTCATCATGATTGAAATACATTAAAATAATTTTAAGTGTCGTGAAACTCAAGTTATCTTCACTTTGTGAAGTCTTTCTCTGGTAGAGTTCTTTTTTAGGATAGAAACTACTACAGGTCATATTAAATTTGTTACAATTATAGTCCTCAATTTTACAAAGGTAAGCTAGTAAAAATTATATTACCCAGGGATCATTAGACATTAGTGTTTTGAGCTTCTTGATATGTACATGCGATGCCTTTGTTTTGAGTTCCTTAGCATTTTTTTTTTTAACAAGGGAAATTTGAAATTTATTATATAATACTTTTCAGAGAAGTAAGTTTTCACTATCCCCTTTATCTATATTTCCAAACACATTCATCTTTATTCACAGATTAGATGTGCTGTACTTTAAATTTCAGCTTTGAAACAACCTAGTTTTTCAGTAGTATTTATCGATCAGTCTCAAACATATAAACCTCTTTAAAATAAATGTGGACCTCATACCCCAGAACCCATTTGTTTCTAAAAAGTTTTAGCAAACCCTTGCAGTCACTTCTAGGATTTTGCATTTTTATTAATAATTTTCTATTTTATTTTTAACTGAACCTATGCAAGTTGTCAGTTGATAACAGTGTCTTTAATGGCTATAATTTTCCTATTGTCTTCTAGAAAAAGCTATGTGATTGTGTCATAATTATTGTTATTTTTTTCCTTAACTACATATCTACTCATTTGTATAAATAAATGTAATTTCCTAGAACATATACCTAGCAAGGTATACGAGCAGTGGAATTTTTAATGTTCTTGATGGTAGTGACCTAAAAAAGGCATTTATTTTTCATGACCTGTTGTAGTTTACTGAAGAAAGTAGATCTTTTGGAAGATATTACAAACTTAATGACTTACAGTAATAGAAATAGTAATAGAAAAGTTTGTAGTAGTGAGATTCTTGCTGTGTGACTTTGTTCCTTAATTTTTCATTACTCTGCAAACTAGGCTGAGGTGATGAATTTGGCTTTCTGCTTATGACCTACCGCAGATCTTTAGGATAAAAGGCCAAGTCATATGGATACAATGTTTAGCTCTTTGCTGTTCTCCTTCATGACTCTTTCTATGTGTCAAGAAGTCTATGCTTATAGAAAAAGAGGATTGTTAAGCAAGAAGAATGTTGCTTTGTAGAAATCGTGAAGGCAGTCATTCAAAGTAACACATTCCAAAGGCTAAAAAAAGTAGTCTGGGGATATAGAAGTCAGATTATAGACTTTGAAAGATTTGAATAAAAGTTACCTGTTTGTTCTATTTCTTTTGGATCTGGGAATCCTGATTCTAACTGCTGCTGGAAGACATTTATTTTTAGGCTTTCTGAAATTAGAGACCTTAAAGAAGAGGAAGAAAAGATCGGGCAGTTTAAGAGAAGTTAAGTCAAGCCAGTCTTAGAAAATATCTTGGAAACATCTTAAGCAGCGTGCTGGGCAGTGAGTTGGTAATATCACAGCAGTGGTATTCAGTCTCTTTAAATAGAGATAAGAAAATGTGGTCTTTGAGGATTGTTTAGCTGCAAGCAAAAAAGGAAAAAACAAAAAAGCTTTACATGTTAGCTTTAACAAGAAAAGAATTAGTTTCATACAATAAGTCTGAGTGGTAGATGGGACAGGGATAGTACAGAGCTCACTAATGTCAACAAAGATTTAGGTTCTTGGGTTTGGGTATGAAAGGCACAGGCACCGCCCGCCCCACCCACACACAAAGAAAAAAGCCAATTTTTAAAGACTTTCTTATTTGGAGAGAGTCGTAATACCTCATTGGCCAGAACTGGGTCACAGGACTATTCTTAGCTTCAGAGAAGTATTGAGCAGATGACTCCTTTTAACTTTCTGTTTTTGGCTGAGGATGAAGTAATGGAAGGGAAGTTTTTGGGTAGCCAGTACTCAGGGTGTGCTATAACAACATAGGTTTTTTCTTTGTAGAAATACTGATGATAGGTATCACATGCAAATAACCATATAGCCACTTATTTTGATTTTTTTAACACATATACGAGGGTAGAAGGAATAATATAATGAGCCTCCATTACTCATTTCTCAGCTTCAAAAATTATCAATATATTGCCAAATTGTTCTCATCTATACCTTAACACACTATACTCTTCACTGGTTGTTACTATTTTTTACAGTTTTATTGACATACCTTAAGATTTACCAGTTGTGAGTGTATAATTCAATGACGTTCATTACATTTATAGAATTGGGCAGCTATCACCGCCATCCAACTTTGAACATTTCCATCACACTTCAACAAGTTCCCTGGCACTCAGTTTCTCAAGCTCCATCCTTGGGCACCTAACTGTTAACCTCTTTCCTATGTAAGATCTGCCTTTCCAGGATATTTCAAATATAGGGAATCATACAATATGTGGTCTTTTGTTCTGGTTACTTTCACTTAGCAAAAGTTTTGAGTTTTATGCATGTTTTATCTTGTATCAGTATTCCATTCCTCTATGTTGCTGAATAGTATTTTTTTATGTAGATATAACACATTCTGTTTATCCAATGGTGTTTTGATAGGTATTATATTGTTTTCCGTTTTTGGCTCTTTTGACCAATGCTGCTGTGAATGTTTGTGTACAGATCTTTTTGTAGATGAATATTCTCATTTTTCTTGGGTGTGAGTGGAATGTTGGGTCTTATGGTAAGTTTATGAGGTCAGTTACCGAGTCACAGTAAATTTTTAAGAAGCCACCAAACTTTTCCAAAGTAATTGTATCATATTACATTCCCCAGCAATATATGAAAGCTCTAGATCTTCCACAACCCCACCAACACTTGGTATTGTGTGATTTTAAAATTATAACTGTTCTGCTAAATATATAGTAGTGTCTCACTATATTATTAATTTAGTTTTCTAATGACTAATGATGTTGAGCATGTTTTCATGTACTTATTATATATCTTCTTTGGTGAAATATTGTTAAAGTCTGTCTAGTCTTTGGCTGGGTTATTTGTTGTAAGAGTTTTAAGTTTTAAGTTCTGAACATATCCTAGATACAAGTCCTTTATTAGATGTATAATTTGCAAATATTTTCTCCCAATTTATAGCTTGTGTTTTCATTGTCTTAAAGGTGTCATTTGAAGAGCAAAAGATTTTAGTTTTGATGAAGTGTAATTTATCATTTTTTTTTTCTTTTTGGAATCGTGTTTTTTTTTTGTCATATCCAAGAACTCTGATAAACCCAGAGTCAAGAAGATTTTCTCCTATCTTCTTTTCTAGGACTTTCGTTCTTGCGTTTAGGTCAGTGATCCATTTTCAGTTAGTATTTGTGTGTGGTATGAAATTAATAGTTTATATTTATCCTTTGGCACATGAATAGCTAACTGTCTTAGCATCATTATAGGAAAGACTTTCCTTTTCCCATTGAATTGCCTTGGCACTGCTACTGAAAAGGAATTGGTTGTAACTGTAATGGTTAATTTCTGGACTTTTGATGTGTTCTGTTGATCTCTGTGCCTGTTCTTATATCATACTACATTGATTACTGTAACATTATAATAAATTTTGAGATCAGATAGTGTAAGTTGTCCCACTTCATTTGTACTTTTTTGGAATTGTTGTCAATTTTGAGTTCTTTGTATTTCCATAAAGATATTAGCATCAGCTTGTCCATAGAAACAAAAAATTCTGGTGGAATTTTGATTGGAATTGTATTGTCTCTGGTTCATTATTATCTTCATAGTGTTGTCTTCCAATCTGTGAACATGAAATAACTCGCCACTTATTTAGGTATTCTTTAATTTGTCTCAGCAATGTTTTATAATTTTCAGGGACTGGCACTTATTTTGTTAGATTTATTACTAAGTATTTTATTCTTTTGATATTATTGTGAATGGAATTGTGTTCTTTCACTTAGCATTATGCTTTAAGCATTTATCCATGGTGTAGCATGCATAAGTATTTCATTTGTTTTTATGGCTGTATAATATTCTTTTGTATGGATCCATGGATATACTGTATTTTGTTTATCCACTCATCAGTTGATGCACATTTGGTTTGTTTACTCCCTTTTGGCTAATATGAATGGTACTGTTATGAATATTTAAGTTTTTGTGTGGACATTTATTTCCATTTTTCTTAGGCATATTCTTAGAAGAGGAATTGATGTGGAAGGATTTTAAATTCTTATTTACTTATTATAGGTCTATCCTTATTTTCTCTTTCTTCTTGAATAACCTTTGATAACTTGTATCTTCCTAGAAATTTTCATCTAAATTGTATGATTTGTTGGCATGAAATGGTTCATAGTGTTCCCATATAATACCTTTTTTTCTATAGGGATGGTAGTGATGTTGCCTTTTTTATTTATAAGTTGGTAATTTGTGTCTGGTCTATTTTTTTATTGGTCAGTCTAGCTAAAAGTTTGATTTTCTTTTTTTTGAAAAAAATTTTTTTTATTAAGGTATCATTGATACACACTCTTATGAAAGTTTCACATGAAAAACTTCGTGGTTACTACATTCACCCATATTATCAAGTCCCCACCATACCCCACTGCAGTCACTGTCCATCAGTGTAGTAAGATGGACAATGTATTCTTTATGTCTTTATGTGTGTGTGTGTGTAAGGCAGGTTTGCTAGCAACAGATTCTGTCTTTGACTGAAAATGTCTTTGTTTACCCTTCAATTTTAAAGAATAGTTTTGCTGGATATATAGAATTATTTAGTGATGGAGTTTCTTTTAGCATTTTGGATTTATCATTTCACTGCCTATCATTCCTTTATTGTTTGTTTTTATGAGAAGTCAACTCTTTAATTGTACTAGTTCTACTGTATTAGTCTTTCCATTGCTGTTTTAAGAATTTAGTCTTTGTCTTTCAACAAGTGTGACTCTAGGTGTTGATTGCTTTTTCTTTATCCTATTTGGGGTTTAGTTCATCTTCTTATATTTGTAGGTCAATGTTTTTTGTAAAATTTTGAAAGTTTTCTGCCCTCATCTCTTCAAGTATTTTTTTGGTCCCTTTTTTATGTCCAGTACTCCCATTACATGTAAGTTGGTATATGCTTGATACTATCCCATATCTTTCTCCAGTTCTCTTTATTATCATTCAGACTTTTTTTTCCCTATGATCTTCATATTGGATAGTTTCTATTGATCTTCTAGTTCATTGATTATTCTTTCTCAAATCTGTGGTTGAGCTCTTCTAGTGGATTTTAAATTCTATTAAGTATGCTTTTCAGCTCCAGGATTTTCATCTGGTTCTTTTTAAAAATCAAGATGAATTCACATAACCTAAAAATCACAGTTTTGAAGTATATCGTTCACGTGATTTAGTTCACAGGTTATGCAACGATCATCACTATTCCAGAACATTTTCATCGCCCCAAGAAGAAACCTCATACGTAGTAGCGCTCACTCCTCCTCCTCTACTTGCCCCTAGCAACCACCGTCTACTTGCCCCAGCCCCTAGCAACCACCGTCTACTTGCCCCAGCCCCTAGCAACCACCGTCTACTTGCCCCAGCCCCTAGCAACCACCGTCTACTTGCCCCAGCCCCTAGCAACCACCGTCTACTTGCCCCAGCCCCTAGCAACCACCGTCTACTTTCTGTCGTGATGGATTTGCCTATTCTGGACATTTCACATGAATGGAGTCACACTATATGAGGCCTTCTGCATCTGGCTTTGTTCACATAGTTTAGTGTGTTCAAGGTTCATCCATGTTGTAGCATGTATCAGTCTTCATACCTTTTTATGGCTGAATAATATCCATTAAGTAGAGATGAATATTCCCCATTTTGTTTATCTGTTTATCAGTTGATGGATATTTGGATTGTCTCTGCTTTTGGCTCTTATGCTTCATTTGGTTCTTTTTATTTTATAACTTCTGCTAATTTGTATTTGGTATTTCATGAGTCATAGTCATCCTACTTAAATTCCTTAATCATGATTTCCTTCAGTTATGTGAACATATTTATAAATGGCTGCTTTTAAGTCTTTGCCCTCCAAGTCCACCATCTTTGCCCCTTCAGAGTTAGTTTCTGTTGAGTATTTTTTACCCCCTGTGTATGGAGCACACTTTCCTGTTTCTTTGTGTACCTCATAACATTTTTTTGTTGCTATTGCTGAAAACTGGAAAATTTGGATAATATATTCTAGCAACTCTGAAGTCTGATTTTTTCCCTTGAGGGTGTTGTTCCCTTTGTTTTGTTGTGTGTTTAGTACTACATCTGTACTAAATCTTTGGAGTCTGTTTAATGTGCAGTGTGTGACCTGATGATATTTCTGCTCACTTTTTCATTTTCATTGTAGTTTTAAATGTGGTCAGTAGGGTTTAGCCCTGTGTCAGGATAGCTTAGTGGTCAGCCAGGGACTGGTCTGTGCTTGTATTTAAACACTTGTTCTATTATAGGCTTCTCCCTATGCTTATGATTATTTGTGTGTTTACTAAATTCATGCACTTTTTAAGTTTGCCCTGGTTTTTACCTTCCTTCAGGATCTCTTGTATTTCTTCTGTGTGTGTGTGCCATCTTATGGTTTGCCAGGACTTTGTAGATGGCTTGATCTCTCTTTGGTCTCTTCTGCATGGACAAGCTTATTAAGAACCCCTATGGTTGTGTCATTTCCTGTATCTCTCACTGTCCATCTGGCTAATGTGATATAGTCCTTTCCTTGCTGCACCTTTATGCATGCTGAGCTACTGTTCCTTCAAATTTTTTTTGACGCTGAGATTGTTACTATTTGCTTGGGTTGGTCTTTTTTCTGTTTTTCAGTACAACTCATGCCAGTCTCCTTTGCAAGTGAATCTGCTGGTTTTCAAGGCTCATTCTGCCCTTGTCCCAGCTTGGATGGAAGGTGGGAGCAACCCTAGGCAAGAATGCCACAGATTCCTTTAGTTCTTAGTTGTGGATTTGTGTTTTTTTCCATAAGAAACTACTTCATTTGCTTTATGGTTTTTGGTCAATTACGAGAGCTCTCAAATGGTTGTTTTTGACAGTTTTCTCTAGTTGTATGTCACTGCCTTTTGGGGATAGCATTTGCTGATCTACTTATTTTACTATATCCAGATTCCTTCCCCTCTAGATTGACTTTTCATTAACAAAAAGTTTGAGATGCTGTGTAGTAAGACTTTCCATTTATTGTGTACTCAGGATCACTGAAAGTTTAATGTTTTTGAACTAGACTTTCAAAATAGAATTGTGGCATATTTTTCTATCACTTCCCTTGAGTTCCTAGACAGTGGGTTTTGCTATTACTTTGTTTCATTAAAGATTTATTATTTATTTTGTATGATATTTGTTAAATTAGGTAAATAAAATTTCTCTAGGATTATGAAGTAAGACATTTTTTACATTCTTTGGTATTTTATTTTTAATCCTAATGCAGATTTTATATCAGCTAATAATGAGTAATAAGAATTTATTGAATGCTTACATTGTTCAAACACTTTATATGTATGAAATCATTTAGTCCTAATAACTCCTTGAGTTAGTTATAGACATTATTCCCATTTTATGGGTAGGTAACCTAAAGTCATACACCTGTGGTGGGAGAGGTAGTTAATAGTTGAAAAGCAATTTCTGTTAAGTGAGATTGTAAATAAAATCAACATTGTCTATAAAATTTCTCAGGATAGTTGCAGCTTTTAAGATTTGGTTTGGATGTTATTTAAAGGATGGCTTAGTTTAGATACTCTTCTTTTTGAAAATAAATTCAGATATAAGCTATGATTTGAGTATTTTAATAAAGAAATCGAGTAATGTAAGTTCTTGCTTCTAAAGAAAATAATTGTTTTTAAAGCTTCAGTTTGCTTAACACTCTGGGAAGTAAAGTTGGGTCATTTGAGAGGGACCATTTAAAATTTCTCTTAAAGATATGCTGGCAGGGAGATTTTCCATTAGGTAAAGATAGTTGTTGAATTCTTTGTGCTGATGTAGAGAGGAAACAGGGTCTTGTGTTTCTCTTGGATTTTACTATCCTCGTAGGGCTTGGGGGCATAGAACTGTTGGTGGAAAGTAGAAGGAAAGATGTGAAGGAGCAGAAGAGCTATTATTATAATTAGTTATAATTATTTAAGAATTATAAGCCCTTATTATATTTGTGATAAGAGCAGTCCATAAAGCCACAGCGTAAAATCACACCACCACCACTTGCCTGATAATAGCATTCTCCAGTTGCACATAGAGTAAGAGAAAATAGTCTTTAGAGGCCTGAATTTGCAAGCATAAATGTATAATGAAAATTAGGTCATTTGAAGAAATCAATTTATACTTACCAAAAGTGTGTCTCTTTAATAAAAATATCTTAAATTTATTTAGTTTTGATTACATTGTATTTAAGTGTTTTTCAAATTTAAGGCACTTCTGGAATTGCCTGAGGTGCTGTGTGATAAATTGTAGTTTTTAATTTGATAAAATTAAATAACTTCCTAATGGAGTCCATCATTATTGGTGTTTTTGTTTAATGCATTTTTTTGCATTCATTTTAAGGCAAAATGAATACTTTTCATAGATTTAAAAAATATGCTTTTTTAAAAGGCACAGTTAAACTTATATAAATTACTGATAATATTTCTATTGAATTTTTTAGTAACAATGTTTTAGAGTACTTCATATTTACAGTTATGCAGAAAATATAGTTTTCCTGTATTTCCGCTTTTCACTGAGTTTCCCCTGTTAACATCTTGCATTGGTGTGGTGCATTTGTTACAATTGATGAATGAATATTGATATTCCTGTTGGTTTTTTAATGGCAATTGTATGTAGTTTAATAGGTGAGTAATTTCTTTAGTCCTTATATACACTCAGTTAAGATAACTAGTGTTAATTTATTAGTGATTTTTTAATACTCTTATTGACAATGAAACATGATTGCTCTGATCTTTTTAGGGTGGAATAATTAATGATGGTTCTGAGTTGATTGGTCCTGCTGAAGCTTGTTCAGACTCCCCCATTGATAGCTTTCCTGAGTGTAGTACAGAAGGTAAGAGATTAAATTTTTTTTTTCATTTCAGTGGTTTTGTCACAGAAGACTATAAATCATATTTTTATTGCAGAAAATAGAAATAGGAATTTGAGAGTATTTCACTGATTCTGAGATTTTTTTCTTTACATTTAATATCACCGATATTGGGTCAATGACATCTGCATTTAATTGACGGCTTTTTTTCTTTCTTAGTGATATATAAAATAGTGGCTCATCCTACAATTAGTGGCATCTAGATTTGATGAGATATGGTATAATGAGTGTTCAGAATATATATTGTCTAGTATAAAAATGCCTTGCTATGGTTTACTTAGCAGCATGTGACTTTTAGACAGTTACTTTTAAGACTGGCTTTAGAAGTCTGTCATCCACCCAGAAAGAATAAACCTAAGGCAGTTTTAGTGCTTTTGATGTTTTATAATAGCACAAATCTAAATCAAAGTAATTGTTGTGTTTGTAATCATTTTAATTCAAGAATGGCCAGTCTCTTGTTTTAGTCCCCTGTTAAGCCATCCTAGAATTCTTATGAAGATTTAAAATACAGTAGTCCCCCTTGTCTGCGGGGGATACATTCCAAGATCCCCAGTGGATATCTGAAACCACGGACAGTACTGAGCCCTATATATACTGTTTTTTTCCTGTACCTGTGTATAGACCTATGATAAAGTCTAATTTATAAATTAGGCACATTTATATGTTATAGTTTATAAATTTACAGCTCATAAAATAGTGGGAGATTAACAATAATAACAATAATAACTAATAAAAATAGAACAATTATATTTTCCTGTATGTGGTCTCTCTCAAAAGCTCTTACTATACTATACTTATCCTTCTGGTGATGATGTGAGATGATAAACTGCCTACGCGATGAGAAAAAGTGAGGTGAATGATGTAGGCATGGTGACACAGCATTAGGCTACTTTTGACTTTCCCGAGTCATCAGGGGGATCATTTGCTTTTGGACCATGGTTGACTGTGGGTAACCAAAACTGCAGAATGTGGAACTATGGATGAGGAGGGTCACTGTACATTCCTTTTGAGTTCAGGATTTCCTTAGCTAATTTGCTTCCAGGGAAGATTTTGAAGTTAAAATAGAGAGATTTGGGGATGGGGAAGGAGGAGTCTTTAAAACAGGTAACTTGTTTATAGGTGGCTTAGGTTTGGTTTATGTAAAAGTAAAACCATAGACTAGGTAGTATTTCTTGAGATTCTTTACAAGTAAGAGTTTACGATTGCAGAAGATGCTTTATAACTCTATTTTGTTAGGTAGCCATAATCTCATTGCAGTGATGTTTTTGTGGGGCAATGTACTGATGATACACATCAACAGACATAATGACAGATCTATTTCAGTAAATTCCGATCATGATTTGGTAGGCGCAGCAAGTTCCCACCTTTTGTGTAGGTTGATGCACTTAAAATTTACTTTTCTTTTGGTGCTACCATATTGAGAAGTATTAGCTCTTGCTGTTTTTCATGGTGGCTCCCATTGACTTAAAAGCCGTCTGTTGATTTACACCCAGTGTTCTGTGTAATGTAGGGTACCTAAGGACCAGAGGTCTCCACTGGGTCCTCAATACCTTTCACTCCATTCAGAATCGTCTAAAGTGATTAAAAACATTGTTGACGGTAATTCTACTTTATAATCCATCATGTTTTTTTTTGAAAAAACATCTATTCTCTCTGACCCTGTTTTTGAGCTGACGTCTTTGCTAGGCTTTTGGAAAATCTAGTCCCTGCTTGGGATCCCAATGTGATTCTGTTTCTAGAACTAGTTTCCTTGGAAGGTGACTTCTGTGGGATAATCTGGATCTGTCTTTTGCCTCCTGAGAGAGGAAGAAGGTGTTTTCCACCTGTAAAACGTGCTGATTCTGGGACACCCAATAGAGAACAAGTAGAGTTAGAAAGGTCGGTAGGAGAGTATTCCATGAGGAGTACACTGGAAATAGCAGAATGTTTCTTCTCTCTCTCTTTTTGTATTTTGATACAGGAAATGAAGGTTATGTGATTTGGGAATGGTTACATTCTTTAGATACCCATAATAAGCCTTCATTAGCAGGTGGGAGTCAGCCAAGGCAATTCTGGGTGAGAGTGATGCAGAGATGTGTTGTCCTCTGCGGTGGTCTAGGAGAGAAGGGGAGGAGCTTTATTATTAGGAATGACTTTTCTTGGGATGGTGTTCTAAAATATGGAAAGCTGCTTGGGGGACAAAGGCAGCTGTATTAATGTTAAAGGAGATACAACCTAAAGCTCGGGTGAGCTTGTAATTCATTCTCCAAACTGGGCACTTCTGAGAATTAAAGAGGATGCTATTAATAAGTATAAGACAGCAAGCGTAAGCCAGGCTATCTTGGGCAAACCCGTCAGTATGGGCCCCCCTAGCTAAAGTAGTTGTTGTAAAGTTTACCGTTGAAGTTTCAGAAAGTTTGGTTTTCCTTGGAAGGATTTAACTTTAAGCAGTGAGCTTTCATGAGAGGACTTAGGACCAACACTTTTTTTTAAAAATGTTCTTGTTAACGTTTTAGTTAAAAAAGACAGAGAAGACTTATAATACCTGAAAATATTGATATTTTATCCTTTCAGTGCATAATTTAGTTTCTCAACTGTATTACCATCTCTGAAACACACTGTGATCCATAAAGATCCATAAACCATGAACTTGAAATGCTGTTGATGCTTGTTTTATACCCCCTCCCTTTATAAAAGTCTTTATGCCTTGGTAATTAATCCTACTGAGAGACATCTTGTTGACAAATACAGCTCAGAGTGTCAGACAGCTTGTGAAATTCACTGACTTTAGAGGGGAATTGACTTTTAAATATCATGAGATTGTTTGGCATACTGGGCAAGTGGAAGATTTACTTTGATACCAAAAGGTCTGCAAACCCTGGACTGCCAAGGGAGAGGGTCTCCAGTAACAAAAGAGTAGAAAACCTGGCGCTGCCCAAGCCTCACAGGTGTGCCGTGGAAATAGAGGGTTATAGTGGGATTGTGGTGGCCACTGCCTGTCATTTGGATTTAGAGCCAAAGTGTGAGGAGGTGACTCACTCCATAACAACTCCTCTGAATGCAGTATTTTAAATGGTGTTTTGAAGGTGGATTCATTTTTCAGACTTGTGATTTAGTTTGCCACAGGAATGAGCCAGAGGGGCAAATCTTAATATACAGTCTGCTGCTTCAAGGTCTTTGAGTTCACGTTAGAATGACATGGCAAGTATATTGCCTCTCAGAGAACAGATGTAGACGCTAAATGATGATTATTTTTATTAGTACCATAAAAATGTAATCAACAGGTCTTAATTTACCTTGAAAGGAAGTTTCCTGAGGAAAACATAAAGAACTGGATTAGTGGTTTTTAAAATAATTATTTTATAGTTCAGTGGGATAGAGGAAATCCCTCTGAAGTTTCATAAAGCCAATGATCTGGCAAACATAGTTTATCTAATATAAAATGCAAAGTCATGAAATTATTCAATAAGTTTTTAGATAAAAAGTTAATATTATTTTATGTTTTAAAAATGAAATAAATGCTGGCTACTCTTTATCTCCTTTGTTCAGATAAATTAAACTATATTTTCTTAAAGATGAAAAAAGATGTTAGCATCTTATTTTGGTTTCAAACTTTAATCTTTTTGTCTGAGTAAATTTAGCTATGAAGCTACTGTGGCATTTGTAGAAACCTAAGTGGTGTATGAGAGTTGAGCTTCTGATATGTTTCCCTCAAATGTTGGCCTGTTTGAAGGATGTAGGTTTGCTTTACTGCTGTGCTGGCCTTGACACTGGGGCCTCTGATGTTGGTATAGTCTCGTCTGGTAACCTGTGTCATTTCCTTTTACTAACACATTACTTGACTTCCTTTGCAGTTTTTGGAGGGACATTTTCCAGTTGTATGCAGCAAATAAGAGAAAATAATTAGGTGATTGTAACCATACAAATTGAAAGATAAGCTTCTTATATGTAGAAGATCCTAAGAGTGACTATTCTTAAATGTCTCCTGGAGTAGCCAAATCTACCTTTTTTTTTTTTAACTTGTACATTGTGGATTGAGAGCTCCCCAAGTGCTCATTATAATAATTGTAGACACAAGAAAGGATCTATTAAGCTGTCTTGAATTAGCCGTTTTAGAATAAATGAGATGTACAGTTTGAGAATAGCATCTATTGCTGGTCTGTATCAGGGATCTCTTAAAAATACTCTCAGTCTAAGATTTGTGTTCTTATTTGATGGCAGGTAGTAATTCCATTATGCAGATAAGCATGAAGATTATAGTTGCACTGTGTTAAATTGAGTGATGTTGATTGTATTTAAAACAATAGAGTGGACTAATTAGAAAGTATATGGTTAGTAGGTGAAAAAAATCTATCAAAATACCATTTTCTTACTATTATATTTTCTTTTTATTATTTGTGTTATTTTCATTTAGTTGATTTGAAGTTGACACTGAGGCAGGATCATTTTAAAAAGGAGTGTAATTCGGTTGATTGGTTAATCAACAACCTTGATCAGTTTTTTTTTTTGAGAGGGCATCTCTCATATTTATTGATCAAGTGGTTGTTAACAACAATAAAATTCTGTATAGGGGACTCAATGCACGATCATTAATCAACCCCAAGCCTAATTCTCAACAGTCTCCAATCTTCTGAAGCATAACGAACAAGTTCTTACATGGTGAACAAGTTCTTGCATAGTGACTAAGTTCTTACATGGTGAACAATGCAAGGGCAGTCATCACAGAAACTTTCGGTTTTGATTGCGCATCATGAACTATAAACAATCAAGTCAGACATGATTATTCATTTGATTTTTATACTTGATTAATATGTGAATCCCACATTTATTCCTTATTATTTTTTTAAATAATAAACCTTGATCTATTTTTAAGACAAGTTTGAAGTCTGTGCGCTACGAGATATAGTTTTAAGATAGCATTTAGAAAGCCTAATTAAGCTTTTAAATTTAAAGTAGAATTTAGTACAAATTTCCACTAGGTGGCA